TAGCCTAGATACAGACTTACCAGTTTTGTTAAGCATTTCAAGAAAGCACCTTTTGGGTTTAGTGATTTTTCTCAATTGAGATAATTCTGTTTTCAGTTTCATTGATTTCTGTTCTAAATTTTGTTTTCTTTTCTTGCACTTTCTTTTATTTTTTCCTTCTTTTTCTAGTTTCCTAAGGTGAAAACTTCCATTACTGATTTTAGTTAGATATTTCTTTTTGTCTAATTCATATATTCAACACTATAAATTCCTTCCTAAATACTGTTTTCACTACATCCTACAAATTTAGGTGTAATGGTTTTATTTTCAAGTAGTTGAAAGTATTTTTTAATGTTCTATTTCTTTGACCCATATATTATTTAGAATTGTGTCATTTTATTCTAGTCATAATTCTGTTACTGATTAATAGTTTAATTCCATTGTTATCTGAAATCAGATATTGTATTCTTCTACATTTGTTTAACTATGATTTATCGCCTAGAATTTGGTCTCTCTTTTGAATATTCCCTGTGACCTGGAGAAGATTATACACAGGTATTTTGCTATTATAGGATGAAATAACCTATAGATGTTAATTACACTCAGTTGATTGATAGTGCAGTTGAGTCCAGCTATGCACTCACTGATTTCTACGTGCTCAATTTGCTTCTTTCTAATAGAAGCTGTATCATCTTAGTTACTGTCTCATTGCTAGGACAAAATTCCCAGTACCCACAAGTTAAAAGAGGAAAGGTTTATTTCAGTTCACAGTTTATGGAGGTTTCCTGGCTTCACAGCAGAGCAACTTGGCAGAGGGGCATGGTAGAAGAGAAACAGTTCATGGCATGGCAGGCAGGAAGCAGGAAGCATTCCTTCTTCTTTCCCATTTCATTCCATCCAGGCTACAATCCTATTGGTTGGTGCCACTCACACCCAGGGTGAGGCTTCCCTCTTCAGGAATTCATCATCCTCACCCAATCAGTGAACTAATCCCTTATCACATACCCATGACCCAGTGTCACACACCCGTGATCCAGTCACTCCCAAAAGCCCCACCCCACTTTATGAGTGCCTGAGGCTTTGGAGGGACATCTAAATATAAGCCATAACAGATATCAGTCTCCAGCCATAAATAGGACATCTCTTTGCCAGTTTTTGCCCCATATTCCTTGATGTTCTATCGTTAGGCACATGTACTAAATATTATCATGTCTTTCTGGAGAATTGATTTTTTATGATTGTGTAATACCCTTCTTAATCCTTGGAAATTTTCCTTGCTTTTACATCTCTTCGCTCTGAAATTAATATAGCACTTCTATTTTCTTTTGGTTGGTGTTGGCCAGGTATATCTTTTAAATTATGTGTGTGTGTACTTCTACTTAATGTGGGCTTCTTTTGACAGCGTATGGTTTGTTTTTTGATCTACTCTGGCAATAGCCTTTGCATTCGTACAAACATTTAAACTCTTGACATTTAAAGTGATTATTGACATAGATCACTGTCTACCATATTTCTTGCTGTTTTCTATTTGTTACCCTTGCTCTGTGCTCTGTTTTTGTCTGTCACTGTTTCTCTGACTTTCATAGTTTTAATTGAGTATTTTATTTGATTCCATTTTTCTCTTTTCATGGCATATCAATTATATTACTACTTTTACTTTTTTTAAAAAGAAGTTTTCTTTTTCCTCCACTTTTTCCTTCTTCAGTGTCTTCTTCTCTATAGGGAGATCCAAGTTTCTGACCTATATCATTTTCCTTCTAAGGAATTTCTTTTAACATTTCCTGCCAAGCATGTCTATTGACAACATAGTCCTTCAATTTTTGTTTGAAAACATACTTGTTCTTCACTTTTGAGGAGTGATTTTTGCAGGCTGTAGAATTCTAGGGTGGTTTTGGTTTTTGGCTTTTTAGTCTCAACACTTAAAATATTTTATTTCCCTCTCTTGCTTCCAAGATTTCTACAAAATCAAATATAATTCTTATCTTTGCTCCTCTGTTCATAAAGTGGTTTTTCCAAGCCTGATCTCTTCTTTCAGGTTTTTTTTTTAATCTTTCATTTTTCTCTACTTTAAAATATGCCTAAATGTAGTGGTTGTTTGTTTGTTTGTTTTGGCAATTTGGCACTTTCTATGGGTTTGTGGTTTACTGACATTAATATGGGAAAAAGTCCAGTCTTTATTATTCTAGATATTTCTTCTGTTCCTTTTTTCTCCTTCTGGTGTTCCCATTAAATATACATTGCACCTTACTTTTATAGTTGTGCCACAGTCCTTGGATAATCTATTCTCTTTTATTTATTTGTTTTTTGAAATGGTTTCATATTTTTTTAGAAGTTGCTATTGATACATCCTTGTGATCAGAGATTCCTCAGCGTTGGCCAATATACAAATATATATATATAAATGCCTATGTTAAGTTATAAGACAGAATGTGTGTTTATATTTGAGTCATTTGTCACTCCTGGCATAGTTACATATGATACATAGGCATAAAATACATTTCATTAAATAAATGCATTAACATCTGAAGTATAATTCAAATAAATGCCATAAAAAGTTGAAGTGTTAGATGGTAAATATAATGACATTTTCAGTCAGCTGCTAACTATATTTTTCTTAGAAATATATTTATATATGATACTTGGTCATGTCCCTGGATTCAGTCTCCACTTTGGCAAATGGCTTTTTAACAATCCTACTTGAATTCTGTACTCTAGTCTTAGGAGAAAATGTGGTGACTCGTTCTGACTGAGTTATAGAAAATAGTAAATAAAGCCTTTGCATTGAAGAACTCCCCTAATGATACTAAAATTAGACCAATTACAGGGGCTGTTTCTAAGTAATGTTGTACTTTTTAAAATACCTTTTTTTTTTTTTTCTCTTTCCTCCAATCCCTATAAACTTATAATGAGATAGACTACAATACTGCTTTGGGAAAAACATGGTCTATGTGATATTTTCTAGGAGATTTATACCCTAGGGGGTGCTGGGAATTGAACCCAGAGCCGCATGCATGCTAAGGCACTAAACTGTACCCCAGCTCTACACTTACTCTTTAGGTATCAAAAACAACAGAATATAACATAAGCATTTTTCTGTAGTCATCTAAATAGTTTTACTTCTGATTCAGATAAATTTGTTTCCATTTTTCTCTAATGAATGGAGCATCATGTAGTGTTTAAAAAATACTTGGTATGGTAAAGTGCTGTGATAGTCCATGCTGCTACTGACCAGCTGTTTCCAGTTCTCTTCCTAGGTGTGTGGTAGGATTGTATTATCTATTCCCCATTGAAATTGGGTATGGTCATTCAATAAGTTTTTTCAATGAAGTGAGACCAAAAGTGATGTGAAGCTTTAGAAGCTAATACTGTTGACATGTGTCACTTACTGAAAGGGATACATTCTGAGAAACGTGTCATCAGGCAGTTTCATCATTGTACCTGAATGGAAACCTAGATGTTATAACCTGCTGCACTTCTGGACAATGAGATATAGCATATTGATCAAAGGCTACAAACTTGTACAACTTGTTACTGTACTGAATACCATAGGCAGTCCTAATACAATAGTAAATATTTGTGTATCTAAACCTAAAAAAGATATAGCAAAATTACTATGTGATAAGAATTTTTAACTCCATTATATCTTATGTCATATATGTGGTTTACCATGAACTAAAACATTGTTGTGCAATGTATGATTATATGTAAGTTATGTTACCTTTAACAGGCTGAGACCATTGTAGAAGCAAAGAAATGGACCTTCCCTTAGCTAAAGTCCCTGAACAAGAACAGCACAGATCAGAGCCACTTGTGGTTGACCCATGAGTAAACACATAGCATGTTTTATGTCACTAGGATTGTTGTGGGTTATTAGACAAGAAATACCTTACTTATCACAATATAGTCTTTACCTCATAACACTGGGTTTTGGTAATAGGTAAAGGAATATGAAAGATTTGATGTGCTGATACTGGCCCAGTTTTCTTTTTCTTCCTTAAGGAAATGTTTGTTGTACATAGATTACATACAATGATATTCATCTAAAGATAGGGTCATCTTCCATGTGTCAAAATATTTTTCTTTGAATTACTCCTTTTTCTTTGAATTCCAACCTTCTCTCTGCTTCTATCAGATGTCCTTTCATCTTCCAGAGAGTGAACTGTAAATTTCTTTAAAGTAGCGACCACGGTCATTCCTTCTCATATTTATTCTTTTATTCAATAGACGTTGCTGTGTGCCTATTACTTGTCAGGTGAGACTAGGAATATCTTTAAGAAACTTTAAATAGTCTAATGGAAATGGCAGGAAGCCAGAAGGAGTTAAAGACTATAGAGCACATTGTTCTTTAAATTCTGGCTGTTTGAATAATTTCATGGATGATCTGTATTTCATTTTAAAAGTTTATCTACATTTGAATTCTGATTTTACAAATACCAAAGTCATGTAGATCTAATCTTAATACTCTGAGACCACCAACATATTACCTTGTATTACTTAATAAAGTCTTTGGAGCTCTTACTGTAAAGCTTCTTCTGTTCCATTATCAGTATCTGTCAGTTCCTCCAGTACACCAAGTATCATCTTCTGACTTCAGGTCCTTTGTACAGGAAACTCTCTTTGCTTATTTTCCCTTAGTTTAGGAAATCAGTGACTACCAATTCTACTGAAATTGCTGATACCATCTTCATAGAAAGGACAATATTTGCTTATGTTCTGTTGTGTTCTTTAAAATAGTAAAACTAGAAGATATTCTACTATAACTAATGTAAAACCCCTTCAAGGCATGAAAAGTTAGTGCTATCAAAAGGATTATCACAGAAGAAAAAAAGTCTGTCATTACATTGTCAAGTAGTTTCAAGCAACAAGTTACAAAATTTAAAAATTAAAAGCTGGATTCTGTTTCAGGTTTTTATGACAAAAATCTAGACCCTTTTTTTTTTTTTTTTTTTTGCAAATTTAGTGCAGAGGGTAAGGTCCCTTGTTGGTTCTCTCTCCCATCATCTTCTGCATTTTCTTTCTAGGGATTCTTCAGCAAGCGCCTGAAAGGCTCCATCAAGAGGACCAAAAGCCAGTCAAAGCTTGACAGAAACACGAGCTTTCGGCTTCCATCCCTTCGTAATACAGATGAAAGGTAGGAAGTAAACTTGCTTAAAACAGAGAAAGATTAGAGTGGATTTTGATTAGGCATTTTGACCTTCTCTAACTTTGTGTCCATGACAATTAGAAAGATTTAACACAGAATTTACTTTGCTCACCAGGTGTGATAGTGCACACCTGTGACCCCCGCACTTGGGAGGTTGAGATAGGAGGATTGCCACAAGTTTGAGGCCACCCTGGGCTACATAGTAAGTTCAAGGCCAGCCTTAACTACGTAGCAAGACCCTGTCTCAAAAAACCCCAAAACAAACAAAAATTTACTTTTTGTCTTAATCATACTAAGACAAGTTATCCAGCCAGTTTAAGAATCTTATTACTAGAGAGTTTGTGGATACATGAGCATTACTTACCACTTTAAAAATCAGTTATGCTCCTTCTGCAGAGTCAAATTCTAGTGGTTAGACATGAATCTTTTTTTTTTTTTTGGTAGAATGATTCTAAGGAGTAATGATGATGAGTATGGCTAATATTTTTTGACATATACCAGATGATATATACATATCCTTATTTGATTTTTATGATAACCTTACAGGCTAAGTGCTGTTGTCATTCCTACTTTGGAAATGCAGAATCTGAGCCACAGAAGGGTTAAGTAATCTTGCCCAAAATTGTACAGTTAGTAAATAACAAAGATGATATTTGAACCTAATGAATTGGCTCCAGGGTCCATGATCTTCACTGCTGGGTTGTTCTGTATATATAACTTGTAATATTAGTCTTATTGGTTTACTATCATATCCAGAAGACATGTAAAGAAAAGAACATGTGGAGTTCAATAATTAGGACTAACTTGAGGAAACCATAAATGTATAGCCTACTAAGAATGACATCCTTCTGAGATAAATGAATGTGTGCTAAGATATATTTTTAATACCTCATGTCTCCATAAAACTTAGAATTTTAGAAATAGTGTTAGATCTTTACCATCACCAGTATTAAATGATTGCTTACTATGTGTCAAGCATCTTAAATGTAATCTCATGTAATACAGCCCTAGCTACTATTATTGTCCTCATTTTACACATGAGGATCAGAGATGTAAAGAGAGCTCATTCAGAGAAACTCATTCAGGTCACACAGCTAGTATGTGTGATCTATTCAGATCGTGAGAACCTCATTCAGATCATACAGCTAGTAAGTAGTAGAGCTTGAATTAGAACTCAAGTGTGCCTCATATTTGTTTTTTGTTTTTTTTTTTTTTTTTTTTTTGGTTTTTCTCCGGTACCGGGAACCGAACTCACGACCTTGCGCTTGCCAGGCAGGCGCTTTTTGTGCCTCATATTTGATGCTGTTACTTGGAGTTTTGATTTTTGTTTTTCAATAAGTGACATTATTTTCAATTACTTTCCTAACTGGAAATAAAAATTATATATTTGGCAGGTAGAGAATTACTATTTATGTTTTCCAGATGAAGGAATTATTCCCCACAGTGAGTTGATGAGTGACTACTTTTAATGCTCTTATCTCTGAACCCTTATTAAAAGTCTTCATTGAAATTTACAAGTTTATTCAATTTGCAGTTTGTCTCATTATCTCATATGTCTTTAGAGTTTTTTGTTTTTAATTTAATTTTTTTAAATTACATTTATTGTAACTGATATATAAAAACAGTAAATTTTACATTAATGGAACCATGTGATGTTTTGGTGTATGTATGTGTTAAATAATGTTTAGGTCAGATTAAACATATTTATCTCAAACATTTATCAAACATCGCTTTATGGTAAAACTTAAGATCTTTGCTTCTAGCTTTTTGAAATGTATAGCATATTGTTACCTATAGTCAGCCTACTGTGCAGTAGCACACCAAAACTTCTTGCACTTATCTAACTGTAACTCAATACCCATTGATCAATATTTCCTTATTTCCTGACCCATACTTTCCTCTGCCTCTGATAGCCACCACTGCACTGTCAGATCCTCTAAAATCAACCTGTTTTAGCTTCCACATAAGAGTGAGATCATGCAGTACTTGTGTTTCCATGCCTGACTTATTTCACTTAATATGAGGATCCCCAGTTCTATCCATGTTGTCACAAGTGACAGGATTTCATTCATTTTTATGGCTGACTAGTATTTTATTGTGTATTTGAGCCATATTTTCTTTATCCATTCATCAGTTGGCAGATACTTGTTTCCATTTTCTTGGCTGTTGTGAATAATGCTGTGATGAACCTGTGAGTGCAGATAACTCTTAGACATGCTGACTTCATTTCCCATGGATATATATCCAGAAGTGGGGTTGTTAGATCATATGGCAGTTCCATTTTTCATTTTCTGAGGAATTTCTATGCAGTTGCCCATAATGATTGTATTAATTTATGTTCCCACCAACAGTATGAAATCATTCCCTGTTTTGCACATCTTCACTAAAATTCATTATCTTTAGTCTTTTTAATAATAGCTATTCTACCTTGATTGAAATGACATCTCTTTGTGATTTTAATTTATTTGGATTTCCTTGATGATCAGTGATGTTTACCATTTTTTTCAGATACTTGTTGGCCATTTCTATGTCTTCTTTTGAAAAATATCTATTTAGATCAATTGCCCATTAAATCAGGTTTTTGTTTTGCTATGTATTCTGAATATCAACCCCTTGTCAGATATATAGTTTGTAAATATTTCTCCCATTTTTATAGTTTTTCACTCTGTTGATTGTTTCCTTTGCTGTCTAAAAGCTCTTTAGTTTGATATAATTTTGTTTTTGTCTATTTTTGCTTTTTTCTTCTGTGCTTTGGCACTCTTTTTCAAAAATCCTTTGCCCATTCAAAGTTGCAAATCTTACAGTTATATCTTTAGTTCATTGGTTTATTTTTTTGTAACTTATCAGAGAAAGGGATGTAGTTTCATTTTTCTGCATGTGGATATGCAATTTTCCTAGCACCATTCATTGAAAAGATTGTCCTTTCTCACATGTGTATTCTTTGCACTTTTGTCAGATGTCAGTTGGTTCTCCACTTCTAGGCTATCTGTGCTATTCCATTGATCTGTATCTGTCTTTCTGCCAATACCATGCTGCTTGATTACTTTGGCTTTGTAGTATATCTTGAAGTCAGGTAGTATAATGCTTTTTGTTTTCTTCATTTGGCTCAGGATGGCTTTTGCTATTTGAGCAGATGTGGGGGGGGTATGTATAACTGTATGAACATTAGAAATTTTTTTCTAGCTCTATGTTGAATCATTGGATTACTTGGATAATGTAGACATTTTAACAGTGTTTCTTCCAATTTGTGAACACAGAATGTCTTTTTACTTTTTTGGGGTGTCTTCTTCCATTTCTTCTATCAACATTTTATAATTTCCACTTAGACATATTTCACCTCTTTGGTTAAATTTATTTTTAGATGTTTTATTTTTATTTGTAGCTGTTGTGAATGGAATTGCTATCTTCATTTGTATTTCAGATCATTTAGTATTGGCATATAACAATGCTGCTGATTTTTGTATTTTGATTTGTGTCCTGCAACTTCAATGTTCAGTAGTTTCATGATGAATTCTAATGGTATTTTGGTGGGTTTTAGGGAGTTACTGTATATACTATCATGTTATAATTTGACTTCTTTTCCAACTTGGATGCACTTTATTTCTTTTGTCTTATTGTTCTGGCTAAGACGTTAAGAACTATGTTGAATAAAAGTGGTAAAGTTGGGCATCTTTATCTTGTTCCAGATCTTAGATAGAACGCATTCACCTTTTCCCCATTCAGTACAATATTAGCTGTTGACTTCCTGTTGAGATACATTCCTTCCTAAATTCTGCATTTTTATCGTAAAGGGATATTGAATCTTACCAAATGCCTTTTCTTAATATATTGAGATCACCATATGGTTTTTGTCCCTCATTCCATTGATGTGATATATCATGTTGATTTGTATATACAGTACTGAACAATCCTTGTATTCTTGGGATGAATCTCACTTGATCATGGTAGGTAATCTTTTAAACATGCTATTGGATTTAGTTTGCTAGTATTTTGTTGAGAATCTTTGCATCTGTGTTCATCAAGAATATTGGCCAATAGTCTCTCTCTCTCTCTCTCTCTCTGTCTCTCTTTGTGTGTGTGTGTGTGTGTGTGTGTGTGTGTGTGTGTGTGTGTGTTTTCTTGTTTTAGTATTAGGGTAATGCTGACCTAATGGAATGGGTTTGGAAAAATTCTTCTGTATGTTGGAATAACAAGGAAAGTTGATATTCTTCTTTAAATGTTTGGTATAATTTCAGTGAGTCACCCTGAAAAACTTTCCTTTGATAAGAGGCTTTTTATTTTTGAGTCAGTCTTACTATATACTTGTTACTGGCCTTTTTGGTCTTGCGAAAGTGTGTATGTCTAGAAATTGTCTCTTCTAGATTATGGTTAGCATATGGTTGTTCATAAGAATTTCTAGTGTTTTTTTGTATTTTGGTTGTATCACTTGTATTGTCTCCTTTGTCATATATTTTATTTAGTAGTCTTCTCTCTTCTTTTCTTTTCAAAGAGTCACCTTTCCATTTCATTGATCTTTGGGTTGTTTTTAGTTTCCATTTTATTTATTTCTATTCTGATCTTTATCATTTCTTTCTATTAAGTTGACCTTGTGTTGCTATTGCTGTTGTTGTTTTAAGACAGGTTCTCACTATGCAGTTCAGGGTGACAGTGAACTCACTTTGTAGCCCAGGCTAGCCTTAAACTTGCTGTGATCCTCCTGTCTCAGCCTCCCATGTGCTGGGATTACAGGTGTGCATCACCATACCCAGCTTGAGTTTGGATTTTGTTCTTGGTTATCTAGTTCCTTGAGATGCACCAATAGGTTGTTTAGCTGAAATAGTTCTACTTGTATGATGTGAGAATTTATTGCTAGCATCTTCCCTCAGCTTTTTCTTTTTTTTTTTTCCTCAGTTTTTTCTATACCTAAAAGGCTTTAGTATATCTTCATTTTCTTTTGTCTAGACTTCTCTATTTTATGGTAATAATAAAAAAAATATGATCCTTCTATC